AATATGGAACTCTCTCCCAGACACTTACAGAACATTAAATTTTCTAGAATTCAAACAGGAGATCCTCAGATATGAAGCTTTTCCACAGTAGATCTGCAAGTTATGTTTCTCTCTTAGTTTTCCCTCTTAGCTTTTAGTTGTATATAGTTTATAAATAATATTGAAATTGTTAGATAGCATATTTTTATTTCATTTTTAGCTTTTTTCTCGAAGATATTAGCTCTACAGCTACACTGAATTTCGAGCTTAAATGAAGTATATGTATGTATATGTATGTGCCTCCAGAAGATCCAAAATGCCAGAAAAACGAGTCATTTCTTTGTCTGATATTGAACCAGTGTACAGGCTGGAAACAAATGTGATGGCCCCATGAGGAGCAATCCCAATTAAACCTTTTAAAGTAGTGTTAGACTTATACGATGAATACAGCTGAGATTGTAACAACAATGAAGAAGGGGTTTGGACATAGATTTCAGTGCAGTCTATGATGACACGTGTTAACGGATAGAGCTCTTTGAAGCTATCTGGCATAAGTTTATTAATGCACTCTCTAGTTGGCCATATTGGCTGATTGCCAAGAAAGAAGTACAAAAAATTGGCCCAAGTTGGTATTTTTCTACTCACACTGGAAACATGTAAACCAAAACGCTGGGCAAGGTCCAGTCCAAATAAACCAAGCTTCAATCGAACACAAAATAAAAAAGCTCATCTTTCAGCTGCATTTTGCGTACTCCTGGCCTGTTTGTACCTATTCTTGAAGCATACACATAAACCATTGTTTCTGCTGTTGGTTTAACAAGTTCAAAAAATAACTTATAGTGATCATAGGTTGGAAAACCTTTGTAAAATCTCACAAGAGTATTATCCTTAGAGAACCTTTCCATGCCAAACCGACTAATCATAAGATTTGTCTCTAATTCTTGAATTTTTTGCCTCTGATGACTCCTTTGTGGCAGCAGCAGCCTCCTTGAGTATTTCATCTCAGTCTCCTTTTTGCTCACTTCCAACTAAGTTATTTTCAGCTGCTCCATTAGGCTTTGAATCTCACTCCTTGCAGCCTGATAATCTTGCTATAATTGAGATGGTGCTTCAGGTTGCTCAGGCTCTACATCACTCTCGTCTGTTTGTGTCTCACTAAAGGGAAGAAGTTTAATGAACATATAGATGATATAAACATACAGAGAAAGAAATTAGGTTTACAGGAAAGTGGAGCAACATAGGGTTAACTCCTCAGTGTGTCTCATTGGCTACACACAAGAAAAATGAGGCTTTTCGTAGAGAGATTTTCTTCTATTATTATTACTACTACGTTATTGTTATTATTATTATTATTATTATTACTATTTTCGTTTTTCAAAGCGTTCTGCTGGCAATTGATACTATTACCTTTCAACATGTCGTACAATCTTTCTTCTTTGGGTCGTTCTAGCTGGCCAATTAAAAACAGACGGGACAGAATCTTTTTTAAAATTCCGTCGACCAGCCCGATCAGGGGGCAGAAAATCTTCATCTACAAAATGTGCAGAGCAAACCCTGGTGCCTTCAGTGAGCTAGAAAGAAATAAGATATTTAAGCTATAAAAGTGCATGTAATCCAAGAGAAAGACAGATTGAATACAACAATACATTTAATGAAATTTCACAATTACTACTATTAGTTGTAGTTAGTACCTACCTTAAAGTTTTCACCTATGTCTCGTCGAATTTTTACGATCCAGTTTGCTCTGAGTTGTTCGTCTTTCTTTGGAAAACGATGAAAAGACAACGAGCTGTTGTAACGGGAGTCATTGTTACATTGTGGAACACAACAATGCAACGCAGAACCTCGTTTTTTCTTTCTGGCAGGTTGTAAAACAGAACAAAATGTTATTCTTATTTGTGAATCCACAACTGGTTGGCGAAAAGATTATGATTTCGAAATACCAAGGTGAGTATTTGGCCACTCAGTTGCGGCAAAAATGAAGGCGAGCGAGAATGTGAACATTAGTTGTGTTCAACGAACTTTAAAGAATTCAACACGCAAAAATCGGAAATATAGATCATAATCTTCAGGATTCAAGGAAATATAATTCTTAAAACTGAAAACCGTTTGGTAAAATTTCCGCACAGCCCCATCCTACATTATGCATTCAGTTCTTGAACAGAGAAAACAATGACAAAAACAATACATTTCCGTTGGGAAAACAGATTTGTTTTACAATAGTATAGGGCTGTGCGGAAACTTTACCAACCGTTTTCTGTATTGAACGACGTTACGTTTATAAGACTGAAATACGACTATAATATCAAAGAAACTCACTGTCACTCGTTCCTGGAGAAGCGGCCATATCTTGTCTTATATTTGGGCTTTCGCCTGGCTTTTACTCCCAGAGCAAAGGTAAATCAGGCGGAATTCAAGCACGATGAAACAAAAGTCACAATAAATCTCGTTTTTCGTTCTGTGACAATAATTTCGCTCGCTACACTGGAATTTTCGGAAAACGTACAAACGGGGGAAAATAGCTCGGTAGAGACGACTCGGCTTGCGAGAACGGAAACTCGTCACGATTTCCTGACACACGGAGATCTGCTTCGAGTGAGCTTGTACGGACGTCAAGGAAGAGACAGCGTTTTGGTTCCAAAGTACTTTTATTCGCAGAGCGCTCTAACACACAACATGCTAGAGACAAAACTAAAACTGTAATCATCAAAACTGCACATGGTACTTGCTTAATAACTAACTGGTGTGAGGTGCTATTGTTACACAAATCGCAATATCTGAATAAGAACACAAAAGGGCGTAAAAAGGTCTCTTTGAAGTTAAACGAAAACTACTTAAATATTCCATCTGTTTCTACGACGGAAAGAATCTCAAAATAAAGTCGAGTCAAAGAACGAACAGAGAAACCAAAACCCGAATTGAAATAAAACCTGAAATAACACTGCGCACATAAATTTTTCCCCTAACAGTTCTTAAACAACAAGTGTTTAGGATATTTTCGACCAAAAAGTCAAAGTTCGTTTCGCTTGAGTAGATCACCACAATGAACGGGACGCTTGTTTGCTTGCTCGCCAGCAATGCGTTGCTATGTGGTACCCAAACACGTGATTAAGTCGTGAAAAGAGCCTATTATGTGGTTTTGTGCAATCCTCTTTCCAGGTGCTTTTCATTGTGTAATAACAGACATCTAAGTGATTTTACTCTCCTCGTGTTACCTTCTCGTAATAAACCTTGTATCATCCTTATACCTGGAGTCGGGCAGTTGTGCGCGAAAATGATTTCAACCAAAGGAAAAGATCGCTATCTCGCTGCACTTGAATTATCCTGGAAAACATCTTCATCGAGGGAAACCCTGGCAAATTTTGCAGAAGATGTTACAGCTCATACAATGAGTCACGTCTCAAGTCTTGCGTCTCCCGTTTTTCGTGTTCTTGGTGTTGGCAGTGGAAACGGGAAAACAGACTTGAGAATTCTAAATTCTATAACAACAGCCATGGTATCGTCACAGATGAAGAAACCAGTGATTCACACCACCATCACTGAACCCAGCGGTGACCTCATACAGGAGTTCAAGTCATCTGTGACACCATTGCCGCAGCCATTGGGTAGTCTGGCCGATTTTTCCTTCGAATGGCACCAGAAGACCTTTCAGCAATTCATCGAGTCGTTTCCACTCGAAGACTGCTTCGACATGATTCATTTCGTAGCAGCCCTGTACTACATGGATGCCGAGAGCTCCTTAAAGAGCTGTCTTAAGCTGCTTGCCAACGGTGGAGCCATGTTCTGCACAGTTGGACCAGAAAAATCGTTTTTTCCGAAGCTGGCTAAAATACTTCAC